TATAGGAGCTTATGCTATTGATCGCAAACTTTTTTTGATGTGTGTACGTTTGGACTTGGGTTTCTAATTTTGTAACACCATGTGTAATTAATGACATCAGCACATATGCAAAATCACGTTCTTACGTAAGAACGTGATTGAGGGCTGCGCAAACATGAGTAGATTGTCACTTTTGGTTGCCAACACTGGACACCATTGCAGGAAAGCCTGGTAGCTGTGTCCGCTAACGGCAGCCAGACAGTCGCCGTTTGCTTCTTCAAGACACTAATAACTGTTCAGCGCTGGAATTCCCTATATTCCATCAGTGTTACGATAGACATCAATGAAGAAATATTTTATTTTGCTTATTGTGCTCAATTAACATTGCGGCAGAACGGACAGGCCTAGAGGCTATAGTATTTCATCGACGTTTGACGTCACACTGGGCCTGCATTCGAATTCCGAATTCAGGAAACGTTTCACTGCATCGTAGGATAAAACTGCCTATTTACATGTACATATTTACCTAGAAAATTGAAGTTGAATTGTTGCTTGATTTTCTAAAAATTTTTACTTTTGTGCAAGGTTAGGTTATCTACTACATTTTTTTACATGGCGCCACTAGAATCAATTTAAAATCCAACTTCAGCTTGATAGGCGAGTTGTTTTATTCGGAAAAGTATTAATAATTAGAATAGCAAAGTAATTTCACAAAAATAATTGAATATCATGTTGTGGTCAAACATGGTGACTTTCAATAAACTTAAAAATTACATATTCAGTTCTTAGGTTTTCGCGATTGTTACACATAGGAAATGAAACTATTTTTCTGTCTGTGTGTACAGTAGTGTGTCTGTGTGTACAGTCATTAATATTAGACATAACTGATTCCACCTCAGTCAACCGTGACCATGGGACCTGTAAAGGGCCCGAAACGTCGGTTTGTTTGAAAAAACAAATATACGCGATTTAAATCCGGAAAAATAGTCTCATTTCCTGTTAAAAATTACAATTATTAAAGTGACATCTGTAGTTAGCTGCTGGTAGGAATGAAGAAATAGAGTTCTCACAGATAGCGCTACAGCAAAAAGTCGTTAAAAATCAAAAACAAAGATCTGCAACAAGCACATAGAAAAATTCGTAAGATCCGCTAATTCGTTCCGTGGCTTAGTTGGCATAGCGTCTGGCACGGTTTACTGGAAGACGGTAGTTCGAATCCAACCACATCGAAGGATTTTTTTAATTAAATTTGGTGGTTTTGATGCTGTTTGTAAATGAAGCGATTTCAGCCTGAAATGAGAGGTACCTAATTAACATAGCCGACCGCTCATGATTTTTATCAGCGTTACAAATGTGGTTGGCTTCGCTAATTGACATAACAGAGGTCGTTACTGCCTTGTGCCTCTGTAGCATTCCTTTTGGAGGCCACAGTAAATCCATCTGTAAAGGTGTATTCGTTTAGAGAGGGCCAAAAAGTAAAGACTGTGGTCGACTGACAATTAACATTTAAAAAAGAATTATATATAGTATGATGATGGTAGATGGGATAAGACGAACATGCTTCTAAGTCTTGTAAGAATTTTGAAGTACACTAAACTTGCTTGTGTTTATCAGCTCATTGCTTGTGTTCATCACTGTTTTAATAATCGTTACGCTAAATTCAATACTTACGATGTATTTGCCGAACACATGCAATTTATATTCACGTTTCTATTCCCCTAAAATATGAGGTAAGAGGAATAGTTATCGTATTTCTTATAAACGTAATGTTAAACTTCATCTTCTCAAAATTTAACAACTATCAAATTTATTTTTTCCGCCTTTTGGAGCCTTAATTTGGAGAATCGTAGCGACATCTCTTTAAAAACATTTAAACTAATTTGTTTGTCTGTTTTATCGACTGGGAGACTATAGTGTTAAACTCTTTAGATTATGAGTGAAGGATTCAAGTCCCTCTTCCCTCGGTGTTCCTATTACCCAACCTGGCCCTAATATTATATTTATATATTTTTATGAACTATAAAAATGTAATTATTTTTGGATAAATATATAATTTTTCTCACTTATTATTGATTATGAATTATTTATTTATAGTACTTAATTGTTTGTTTATATCTCGTATTTCCTGCTTGATCCCTTCAGTCTGCCGTGACCAAGGGACCTGTAAAATTGGTTTGCTTGAAAAAACAAATATATGCGATTTAGATCCGAAAAAATAGTGTAATTTCCAATATGCAACAATCGCGAAAACCTAAGAAAATGCTCATTCTTTTCTTCTCTTTTTCTCCCTAATTCCGTTCCAAATTTTCTTTTTATGTTATTAAATTGTCCGTTTTAAAGGCAAATGCCAAAAACCTTGTTACCTAAACCACTAAGAGCGAAAAGTCAAAAAAAAAAAAAAAAAAAAAAAACCTAAACAACAAATATAAAATGAGTAAGTACAATGCTAAAGGGACCGTGCTTGATCTCTAAACGTATGTGATCTCTCTCTCTCTTAGTTTAAAGAGCCTAGGGTCCTGTCACATCAACACTCAAAGTACCAAACGCTGTAGGGATGTTCTGGTATTCGACAGTAATAGCCTGTAAAACTGCTGCCTACGCCTTTAACTGGAGATTGTAGTTCGTAAAAGTAAATGGCCAACCTCAAGCTAAGTGCAAGAAAGAGTAGATTCTGCCACGAAACAAATGAGATGACTGTGTACCTCCTAAGCCCATGTTGCCCTGTAATGAGCATATGACTCACTGCTGTGCAAACAAGCGATAAAAAAAATTGGAGCTAAGAATATACGAAAGTACTTTAATTTTGTTACCCTTGACTCCCGAGTTGTAATTAGCGATGAAAAGCTGCTTACGGTTTGAATAAACAACCCCTTGTTGGTGAAGTAAACACTATTCAGTCTTAAAATTTTATTAAATTGACATTCAATTATTTTTCGTATGTAATTACTCCACTAGTTTGTTATAATTATTAACACAAAGATCGAACACTCAGAAAACACTTCCTTCGATCCGGCCGGATTCGAACTGACGTCTTCTAGCATACTGTGCCAGACGCTATACTAACTAAGCTACGGAACGAACCAGCGGACCTCACCAATTTCTCTGTGTTTGTTGTCGTGTCTTTGTATTTAGTTTTTTCAAGGACTTTTTAGACGTAGCACTAGTAGCGTAGCTTAGTTAGTATAGCGTCTGGCACGATATGCTAGAAGACGTCGGTTCGTATCCGGCCGGATCGAAGGAATAAGTATCAGTTCAGTCTTCCGCACAGAATTTTCTTTGACTGCTCTGTACAATGTGGTCTACATTTTATTATTGTCAGACTTATCATTGTTATTTTATAGTAGTTAATGTGACTGATGCATATGGATATCTTTAGCATAGGAAGCACAGGGATCCTACTATGGGTGCAAGTTTTTTGGCTACAGAATAAGCGTTTTGAGCATTCAAAAGCCTTGATAGCTGCCTACAGTGCCAAACACTGTAGAGAAGCTCTGTCATTGGACAAGAATGGCATCAGAATGCTCACTAGAGTCTTAACAGGACATTGTGGCTTGAACAAGCACATGTCAAATATTGGGCAGAGATAGAATAGAGAGTGTAGATTCTGCCACAAGGCGGATGAAACTCCTGCTCATCTTCTCAACCAATGTTACGCCCTGATGGGTGTATGGAGCTCCATACTGGGAAGGCACATGCTACAACCAGAGGACATTAATTTTGGAGGACATTCTGTCGGAGCCAGGAAAGTCCTTCAGTTCTTCAATGCTGTTGGCCTTGGCTCCGAACTGTGATTAGTGGTGATCACAATAGACCAACTGGCTGGATGAGGGGCTACATATGCCCCGAATGAAGCCACCCTAATAATAATAATAATGAGTGCAAGAGACAATGTTGAACCTGTTTTTGAGTCTTTTGCAAGAAATTAATTATTATTTAATTTGGTCGTGTATTTATTCTTGATATCATCAGTCTTGGTCATAAAATATTAAAAAAAGATTGGTTTATCTTTTAATGTTATAATGATCAGGAATTTGTGAAGGTATTGTGGTATAAAAAATGCATCAAGAAATTTTAATTCGACTTTTGCAAGAAACATTCGTTACCATTATTATCATTTCACAATGACTTTTTATACTGCATCCATATGCATAATTGTTAAATTGATAATGAATCACAATAAGTGGAAGGCTTTGGTCTCTTTCTGTGCTGACGGGGAAAGGGAGTGAAGTGCAATACAGAACAAATACAGGCTGGAGGTGCAAAAGCATCTCATCTGCGTCAAGGTAGAATCTAAGTTCTGTTATCCCACTTAGCTTAACTTTGCAAGTATTACATTGCCATTTTTTCAGTCATATCCTACAATTGGCAACACTTATTGCGCATGTAAATTAGTTTTTAAGTTTTACAATGTATGCTGTTGGAATGGATGTCCTTTATGAATAAATAAATAAATTACAGATTGAATAGGAATGTATCTCATATGTATGTAGATGTCAACTTAGAAAACAGTGACAATGGTCAGAGACTGTATATTTTTAGCAGTACTATTAATTAGTTCTACATAATAATAGCTGAAATTAAAAAAAAAATTAGTTCAAAATTTAAAAGTAAATGATTTTACAGTTACCTTTGGTTATTTGTGAATAACCACAACTGTAACATCATTTACTTATGAGTAACCTACGAAAATGGTAGTGACAATTTAATAAATAGTAGACAGTGATTTTACTGAAAAAAAGAAGAGTTTCTCAATTCAACCATACTTATTTTGTGTCTCTCTGACATTTGTGAACCATTTTCAAAAATTATTTTTTGTCAGAAAGGGGTTACCTCAGTAGTGTTCCCATTTGAAGAAAATATTCCACCTTAAGGGGTGGCAAATTAGGGGATGAATTCAGTTTATTAGATTTCTCCCACTTTCCATTAACTGATGCCAGTAAAACTTGGCAAATACATTTTTTATTTCTATTTCTATTCCACATCTTTTGATATCAATTTTTTTGTATAAAGCAGTTGTTATTATTTAACAATAAATACTAAATCTAAATCAGTACTATGTATATAGGTACTATACATATAGGGTAAGCTGGTAACATGAATTTCACATCTAATGTAACAAAATAAAAAAATAAATAAGAAATATTATTATTTTTCACCAAAATACAACATCCTACCTAGGTTGTTAGACTCTGGTTTCGCGTGTCCAGACATTTGGAACACAAAGTAAAATTTTCTGGAAAAACTATGTTACATTTATGTAACCAGCTCTTGGTCTATTAGGTAAGTAAATGCTATGAAATATATTATTTACATATAAATATGTACCTACTTACTTTATACGTTACACCAGCTAAACATTAACACCAATCAAACTTATGATTAATTACAAAATTACAAGGTTGAATTGTTCTACAGTGGTTATCAAAATAGTAAGATTTTAAGTGTAAAATAGTTGTACATACATTGACAGTGTACAGGAAAACGGAGCCATTTATATAATTATCAACGACAGGAAATTGATATAAAGTGGAGAGACAGTCTAGTTAGCCCACACAAAATTTTGTTTAGATGATAACATTGTTTTAAAATACAGCTAACTTACGGTCATTCTGGCAGACTGAATGAGACTTTGTTGATGTGGTGACAAAAACGAACTTTGACGAAATGTGTCGTATCACTTCATTTTAATAAATCAATGTGAAAACCATTATTTTTGGAAAAATTGTGCATTATCAAAAACAACCCCATTTCATTCCCATACCCATACGCTCTATTTGACAGCGAGCTTGTTCGTTTCATTAATAGTTTATTACAGGTGATAAAAGTTTCTGAATGAAATTATTTCATGGAACGAACGTTTACCTCAAATGTCATTGAGAAATCGGATACACATACACGTAAAGTTTCAAGAGAACGTCAAGCTTGACACCGAACAGAATTATTTAATGAAGAGGAAATATATTTTTTTTTTTCGAATATTTTATTTAAATCCAACTCTATGCCACTTACGATAACAACAGGCCAAAGTACAAAGTGTTAAGTCTCAAATATAGTGTATGATCTATGGTGTCAAGCTTGACATGCTCTTGACTGTACGTTTTGCATTTAATTTTGCCTATATAATTTTGTTTACATTATAGGGTACGTCAATATTTACATATGTACTGTACTGTAGAGCTAGCACGACAGGGCGCGATTTGCGCGAAAGCGCTGGATCTTTGGGCCAGAATAGCAGCATCTCACGCTATATGCGGCTCTCGCGCAAGCCGCACGCTGTTGTGCAAGCTTGACTAGTCCCATTGACTTACCAATAAATGGACGTCCATTTGGTCGTCCGACTCGTCCCATTGACTTACCAATAAATGAAAGTCCAAGGGTCTAATGCCGTACTGTATGAAAAAACTTGTAAATATTACTCAAGCTAAATGAAAAAAAGAAGTGGTTTTAAGGTTTCTTAGAAATACTACTGAACACACCTACGCTGATCTTTGTGATAAGTTATTATTAAAAAATATGGTTATTTTTCTCAATGTTTTACCAAGTTTATTATAATAAAAGGTCATTGATTTACACCGCTTCTTCTTCTCTCGATTTCTCCCAATTTTTTTTTTTGGATTGGCAACGTTGTAAAAGTCAATCCACAATCAGCCATATTGTTTTCCTTCGGAGAGTTTTCGTCGTAATTCCCGATTTTATTGTTTTTCGTTATATTTATATTCGGTTTGCGTCAGTGAAAGCCATTTTACTTAAGCGAAATGATTCTGTAACATTTCGTTATGAGTATAAAGTTTAATGAGTCCGTAATTTAACGTACAGCGATAAAATGAGGTGTTTTTTAATTTGTATTATTTTCGCTTGTTCTTTACATTATGTTGTGGGGTACAGTGGGAAAATACAGTTATGTGGAACAAATACCACCAGGAGGGCTCAAACTCGAGGCTGTACGACCCAGGTTAGTGTTGAATTTATCCTGTTATAAACAAATAAGCACAATTTATTTCTTTGCCTTTTCTTAAACATGTATTGATTACCTGTCATCGGTGAGATGGGTTGATGGTCTAAAGGTGGTTCTCCACTGGCGAGGCGAGACGAGGATTAAAATGTAACATTATGGCAAATGCAATAAAGAATTGAATTGGAAAATTTGTTATACAAAATTTCAGTTCTCTCCTAGCCCATCTTCGGAAATGGTCTGGATTGACGAGGATGGGCAAGGTGAGAATGTTTAATAATAATAATGTGCGGAACATATTACTGTAGCTGCGTGTTTATCTCTGAATGAACTGAACAGCGCTGAAGCTTCACTAGCCACATCAAAGCGGGAGCAAGATCGCAATGGTTCATGGGAGGTCGCGAGAGAGCGCGCGAATTTTTAATGGAAATTTTTGTTGGAAATAGGCTGCGAGGTTCAATTCTCGTCTCTCCTCACCGGCGGAAAACCACCTTAACTCCTGTGGTCCGAGCAATGAGCTCTGACTTCAGGACGTGATTCTACTAAATGTATTAGGTTGCGCAAATGTAATAGTTGTTACTATGTTACTGTACTTATTTCTTGCCCTAAGCATTTGTTGCTAAACATAATATGCAATACAATACATATAGGTTGATGAATTTTGGTAATTACTTTACATATTTATATTTAATGGTATGTTATTGGGATGGAGACCTGTCTATATGATTTTCTAATAAATTTAAAACAGTACATGTAGTCTTTATCATACTTATATAATATGTAATTATTAATTGATTTTAATTATATATATTCACTTTTGTTAAATATATAATACAATGATTTAAAAGTAAATATCAGTTTGCAATAAGAAGCATATTAACATAAAAATGTAATTTCATTTTGGATATGGTTATAAATAAGAAAATAATAAAGATAAATTCTTAAGTTAAGGTTGTAAATAACTCATCAGTGATGTAATTGTGAATAATACTTGTCTATCTTTATTATTTGCTAGCGACATATGAGATAATCAATTTACAATTTTTATTTCTTGAATACACTTCATGTATTTGTCTTCTGGTTTGTTTTCTTAGCTGTACCGCAGCTACCATATCATTTATAACTCTATGGGATTATTGTGAACATATAATTGAGTAATCATTTTCATTGCAGAATAAGAATATAATATATAAGTGTTTAATGCTTACAGTAATTATCTATTTGCACTTTCTTTCAGTTTATTTTATGTATTTGTCTTCATCCTTGTTTTCTTAATTCTCACGTAGAGTGAAGCACGTCATATTAAAGTAAATAAGCCACTGTAGCTCCATGGATAACTAAAAATAGGTCTGTACATTCTATACCACCTGGGCTCATTATGTTTGCTTAGGGATGTGTTTTTATTCTTCAGAGGGTAGCAGAATGGGTTTACTGCAATGTCTGTCTTTTAGTTTTATTGGTAATAATAATAATGTCACAGACAACTACACCAATTAGATAGACAAGAGAGAGAGTTGTTAAATTAGAGACCAGAACAGAAAAGTTGATTTTGTAGGTCCTACTTGAAATCGATTTTTGCGCCCACAATGCAAACAATTGCGCCACTAAGGTTGACTTATGTAATGCGTAAGGATTTTTCTGAACACACAATAGATAATGCAGAATGACAACTTATAAGAATTTTATTATATTTAACAATTTTAAGTGTAATATAATTTATTGAGTTCTTAGGTTTTCGCAATTGTTACACATTGGAAATGAAACTATTTTTCCAGATTAAAATGTGTATATTTGTTTTTTTCAAACAAACCAAAGTTTCGGGCCCTTTACAGGTTCCATGGTCATGGTTGAAAACAAATATACGTGATTTAAATCTGGAAACATAGTTTCATTTCCCATGTAATATAATTTGCTTATCTATGAAATAAAGATATTTCGAATTTGTGGATTAAACCGATAACATTATGTTGACTCAGCTCCTATTTGCGTCAAAATGTAGGTGAGTACACCAACAGCTAACCATGCATAATATTTGTCATGGCCACTATATATATTGATATGAGGCAGTGATTTTATAATAATAGCTGTATATTTAACGTAATTTTTACTACAATAACTAAATGTTTGTTTAATATTTATTCTTTCAATGTGACTATTCAAGAGAAATATTATATTACAAATAGAAGGCTTGGATCAAATTGCTTTTTCTTTATCTGGTGACTTAGCTGTAACATAGAGTATGTTTTCTTGAGTTATAATAATAAGGAAAACTGGCACTATGTTATTTTCATTATTTAATAATAACTTTTAATTATAGTGTTATAAGGAAATATATAAAATATAATTAAGTAACTTTATATAGTTATGTATACCCACAAAAAGTTTGCAGGTTCGTAATAAGCCCATGGTTGATTTCTATCTCCTAAGTTTACAAGGCAAGATAATTTTGTTATAGTATAACTTTGATTTACAAAACTATTGTATTAGTTGTGAATTTTACTTAAAAAATTAACCTTAGATATAAATTAACTGTTAAGGTAACACCATTAACAATGCAACCAGAATTACTTTACTAGTCAGAACATTTTAATATTTAGGACTATTTGTCAATTCAAATCAAGCAAAGCAAATTGTACGAGTACCTCTTAAGACGCGAAATTTTTGCAAAAACACATCACTTTCTGGTTTTTGTCTGTTTAAGTTTTTGTACAATGTGTTCATATACAAGCATGATTATCATATCTTGCAGTAAGTCCACTAGCATGGCATGAGACATTTATATAGCAATTCTTTTTTAATATGTTTACCAAATATGTCTTATTTGAGACCATATAAAGTTAATTTGCAGATTTTTTAACTTGTCAGGTGTACTTTTCCAATGATTCATATTTAAATATGTTTACATATCAATATTCTCATCCATGGTTCACATAATGCAGCAGCTAGATTGTTAGTAATTCTTTAGTAAATCTTAATTTTATTTTACAGATTTTAGATCCAGAATATGCAAGCTACAATGATCCATGCACAGTGGAGTTCTTCCCCCCGAACAGTGCAGAATGTAAACAAATGAGCTTCAGCCCTATTGAAGCAAATGCTGGGAATATTGGAGGAGTCAGTTTAAAGCCTTATATATTGCCGAAAGAACACATAGAATATGTATCCCACTTTCTTTATTCCTTCAATGCGACTGTGCTGAATATTACTTTCACTAATATCAAATGGAAGAGTAAGTAAAATTATCATATATACTGTTAAGAAATACAAAATGCAAACACATTATCTGGAATGCCCATAAATATAATCTGTGTTTTTTGAAGATGGAATAAAATGACAGTTCTTTGCGTAAAAGTGTTGTCCGCTTGCAAGCAACTAGTGATTGCTGTCGATAAATATTACATCGACTGGATATTGGTTACGTTTATAAAATAAATAAATGAACTCGTTTCATACTAATTATTCGTCCAAGTATTGGGCAGAGGTTCATTTGAATTGTTTATTTTTTTAAAACTAAGAACTCAACTCGAGACATTTTTGGTTCATTTTTGCCCACTTTCACAGTTTATCGATAAAATTGTCGACCACAACTACATGACTATTTCAAATTTTACATTAACTGGCAACTCTGCAAATTTCATATCCTTCATCTTCAAAAATGTCAGACTATAGATATTAACAATTAAAGTTGTATGGTTACTGACACATTATGAGGGTGGTTGTAAATCGGTAGTTAGATTGGTTTTTTTATGGGTTTAACCTTGAACTAAATGTTACGTTCGCAACCAATTGATTATTGAAAGTCTAAGTTGATTTCTTAAAAGAGCGTACACATCGCACATGACAACTAACATAGTATTATTTCAAAATGGCTTTAATTTATATTAATATTACCTACTTAGTTTCAAAGCGTCAATGTTGTCCTGACACGTTAAAATTAAATCGTATATGAATGACACATCAATATAGCAAAAGTTTGGAGATTAATTAGTATAATAAATAAAATATGTTTTATACTTTATTAAGTCCCGAATTAAAAATCTAATGATGAATTATTGATATAATGATATATTATTAAAACGCAATTTCCAGATAAGATATAATATAACGCAATTTTTGAGATAATACTATGTTAGTTGTCAAGTGCGACATATGCAAGCCGCGCTGCTAAATTTGTATGGAGTACTCCACTTGTCTAAGGCTCAATTCACACTGGCGCAAGTTTTTTTTTATAACATCAAGTGACAGGACGGGCAAATCGTGCGCCTTATGGTAAGCTACGCGCCTGTCCATAATAGTTGCATTGCCCCTCAGAAGTTTAAATCGCAAAATTTTGAAGGGCTCTGCCACTGCGCTTGTCACTCTGAGACATAAGTTGACAAGTCCCATGTGCCTGTAATTTCAACTGCACCCTTACCCTTTAAAAGCGGAACATAGTAATACTCACATTACTACATTACCACTATAAATAGGTAAGGTGGCAGTACTTCTCTGGACGAACTCTTTCACAAAAAATCTACTGCTATTACAGTTGCTTTTTCAGTATGACTTGACCCTTATTGCAATATGATACAACTGTGTAATATTAAAAAAAAAAACAAACATTAACATAATTAAGTACAATGACACTGATGTGCAGTACTCTCGCCGCTGACAGGTATACGGGTATTTGTCTTTGCATTTAACTAAATAACAACCTTCAATGAAATGAATGAAAGTATTTAATGCCTATCCAATTTCTATCAATTTGAAATATCTTAACTTATTTTTAACCGACTTTAGAAAAGGAGGAGGTTCTTGGATTTTTTTGTGTATAGTACGCGATTACTCCGACATCTGTGAACCGATTTCGATGATTATTTTTTTGCTTAAAAGAGGGTACTATAGTAGTGATCACATTCAAATATGTAGAAAATATCTCGCTTCTAAGGCTAGCAAATCCGGTTTATTGGCTTTCACCAACTTTCCATTAACTGTTTGCAATTAAACTTGGCAAATGGATGTAAGAAACACAGTGTAAACAGATAAGCAAACATTTGAGGTTCGTTTTTTTTATATATTATAATGTTGTAATTATGAACATTTACTCTTTTAGCAATGAAGTTTCGTTTCCAACAAGCGAAACAAAACCACTGCAGGAACATAGTGCTTTCTAACGACGCCACAATAAACGACCAATCTGTTCTTTACTACGATTGTTACTGGTCGGTTACTGATGGCAACTATAACGGACAAAGTCACATATTGGATTTTGAGGCCACAGACGACAAAGTTGTTAATAGAGGACAGTATTATTTTAACATACCATCTGCACAGATGTTAAGTAAGTACTTGTTTAAAAATAGTTAGCCTATAAGAAAAATTTGGTTTATTGTTTTGGCACGCTGATGGAGTGGAAATAGGAAATAAAATTGTTACATTTGTTTGCGCACTACGCAATTTGCATTACAGAATTATTATTTTTTCACTAAAATTCTTCAAAAAATTGCTGTTTGGTACCAAATCTGTGTAAATAAATTTTAAGGATTTGCCTTTACCATGAAGTCAAAGTCAGATAATCTTTTTTTCATAATATCAAGTGACGGGACTGCTGGTAAGCTGTGTAAAGGACAGGGGTGTGCCTATCCATAACAGTTGCAGTGCCACTCAGAGCTTTGAATCGCAAAAATCAGAGGGTCATTTCCACTGCGCCCGTCACCCTGAGACATAACTTGACAGGTCCCATGTGCCTGTAATTTTACCAGCACCACAGCACACTTCAAAACCGAAACGCAGTAATGCTCACACAACTGCTTGACGGCAGTACTTCCCTGAAGGAACTTTTTCACAAGGAGCTCTACTGCTACAGATCTTTAGCTGATCAACATAATTCATCAAATTGTCATATTCCAGGCCCCACAATATCCCCAGAGCAATGGCAACCGTTCCTATATATAGAAATCCTAACCGGCTTTATGCGTCTGCACATAAATCCGCCGCCGTCGCAAATCGACATCACGGGATACAAGATCCGCGTTATGAAGGAGGCTGATCAGGGGTTGCAGGTAATTTTTTTACATTACCGTTACTATTAGCAACAACAGGTTGCTTCGCTTTTAGCCAAGTACCCCCCGTTCACACGGCATTGTACTGCACGTTCTTTTGCAGTATAAATTTTACAATAAACCATCAATAAACAGTAGCGTTAGATATAGACCGTTCACACGGTGTTTGTCCTGCAAAAAAACGCACACAGCTGTATACGTTTAATGAAATCGCAACGGACTTTTCAAGCAAATCTAATAATATTATTAATAATTAATTTTATTAATACAAAATGACAGACGAATCTTCTGTGGACAACGATTTATTGATATCTTTAGTGGAACAAAGGCTAATTTTTTCATAATTTTTCAAATTTTCGTACAACTTTTCAAATTGTTTGTACTCACTGCTACTTGATTCATTGGATGAACCCAATACCTTC